CACCCGCAGTCAGTCAGGCGGGCGGCCCGTTTCCGCGAACCGATTAGATTGCGAAAAATGTTTTGCCAACAACAGCAACACGCTTTGCATATCCTGTGAAAAGACTCATCTTGTTTTTTTCCCTTTTTTGTCGGTGACGAATGGGTTTAGCCTTTGAGTTTAGGTGTTCACGACGTAAAAAGTCAGATCGGTCGGAGACGGAGGCCTTGTCCTCCTGATTGTTGCTTTTGTGGGCGTGTGAGTGAATTCTGGCACCATCCGACAACCAGTCGGAATGATGGATCGTCCAATCCATTTGGCACAGTTTTCTACGTTACGCGGAAAAACGTTCATCTTTTTGCAGCGGACGCTTTCAGTATCCCGTTATCGTTCCTCTGTTCCGCCGATATGCGCTATTGTTCGGAATATGCATATTGTGAGGAGTGGATTTCCCGGCGTTATGAAAGATTTAGGCCGACATATTCCGTGGAACGGACCCCTTTTCGAGAAAATATGTAAATCTGATATCATTTTTGCGAAAGAAATCTGCCGCCACCGGGAGTTTTGAAGAAAGACCTAAGTTAGATACCGATGACCAAATGGGGAAAGCACGTATCTCCGTTTGCGACGTTATAGACTTCCTGCCATGCATTATTTTTTCATTGAAAAATTAGTTTTCATGGTTTCTTGAAAACTTCCTTGATTTATCTTCTCTGATAGGAGAGTATAAATTTCGATGTTATAACAGTTGGCTTGTTTCTCTTGGAAAAATACAGTAGTAGCAGAAATTTTGAAACTTCACAATGGAGATACGTGGCTTCACACCTCGGCCATCGATTTGTTGACGAAAGTGAACTGTCTTTCAGATCGAGTGAATTGAAGCATCGCAAAACATAATTTGCGGATTGAATCAAGAGTATTTTTTCTCGTCAATGTTATTAAGAGTCTGGACTCTAGATCCAAGCGACTTTTCTTTCAGTGTTGGTAAATTAATTTTTGTCATCATTATTTGTTTATTAAATCTGGGGGAGCTGAGTGGCGTGTACAAGGGTTACCTGTGGGTAACTCCAATCCTAGTAACCTCAAGACACCTCTGGCCTCTTGATTTACAGACATTGCCATGATAGTTTTCAATGCATCTATCAGGAATTGAGAAACATTTTGAATGATGTTAATGCTTTGACTCTATTCCGTTTAATTGTCATCTTTATTGTGTTGTGCGGAAGAATACCTCTCAATGGAAAATTTCAAAAAAATGCCATACATTGACTCGCCACGGCGCACAGTGGATCGAGCCAATAGGAGAGATCGGACAAAATTTAGAAACATTGAACGCTTATAACTCCGTTCATACACAACTTTGAGGTTCTAAAAGTGGTTCCGTTGGTTTCCTCGTGAAATTATCTACTAGAAGCTACCCTTAAAATTTTAAATTTGGCGAAATAAACATCAAAATTTGCTGTTTTAGTAAAACATGACATGTCCGACTTCTCTAATTGACTCGATCCAGTGTGCGGCGCGGCGCTATTAAGATATTGAGTCAACTTTTTACCTCGCCTCCTCATTAATATGGTTGGAATGTTGTTACAAATTTCAAGAGCATCAACTCCTGCACTCCTGCTGTCAAAAGTTATCTTTCTAGAGACTATTTTTTTTTATTTAAAAAAAAAATTGCTGCAATTAAACAAGTTAAAGTAGGAGCGTTTTTCAGTTTCATCGACATTGAGGAGAAAGGCGCAAAGACTGAAACTGCCCGGTGATCTTTGGAAGACAACAAAAAGCCGGAAAGAATAGTTAATGAAACAGCAAGAGGCTTTTGTTGGATCACTGAGGTGAGGTCTGATCAATGTCCCAAAAGAAAACGGGCTCGTAAAAAAACGCTCACAAAAAAAGGTCACCGATACTCGGCGACCCAAATGCCCTCCTCTGAGGTTTAGAAATTAGGTAACATTTCGAGACGAGGAAGAAACATTGCATAATAGTTCACCTTTCTTTTTTTCCTTTATCCTTTTCGGCTGTAAAAAAGGGTCCCTAAGGCATTATCTTTTTTTCTTGGAAAGTCAAGTTTAGGCATCTCTTCTATTTCTACTTTCACTTAACGGTGTCTCAAACTGGAAAACGTTGTTTGAATATGCAAATGCTGCTTTTTCAACAGTACTGATGAAAGTGTTAAAATTTAGCCGTGACGATTTGAACAGAGAACTTGCTCTACGCTGTGTCAAAAGGGAAAGTGAATGGCTGAATGCGCAAACTACGTTGAACATCTATCTAATGATGCTTTGTAAGTATTTAGAAGTTCCATATAATGGCCGCGCGGTTGAGGAAGACAGCATGTTGAAGTTTTTTAGCCAACGTGCTTAAAAACTCAGCATAAAGCTGATATCTCACTACATATTGAAAGAGCTTATCTCATCCAGGGAAAATTGTGCTTGTGTGTGAGCTTTTTCCTTCTGTATTGAGATATCAGCTTTATGCTGAGTTTTTAAGCACGTTGGCTAAAAAACTTCAACATACCGTCTTACGGCCCGTGTGTCCACCGCAATCAGTTTGCGTAAAAAAGAACTCTAACTTAGTTTTTTAGAAAATTAAAGTAGTGCTTTTGAGATCTCTACCACCGGTTCCGTGCGAGTGACGCAATTGGTAGCCCTATCCGGCGACAGTTCTGGACTATGTATTTCAAACAAGTATTGCAATTTACATCAGAATCAATAAAATCGATGTTCAACTTACTGTTTGATATCCAGCCAACTTGTCGGTTAGAAGTGAGACGACAGATGCGAAGTAAAACTTTATACAGATAAAATAGGAAGATAGATACACGCGGAATTCTCACGTTTACTCAGAGGTGTTTCTTGACGGAAAATGTTCGTTAGGGTATAGTTCGGTGAAAGGTTTGAAAGTTACGCATTCCGTTTTTTTTCCCCATCCATTTTCGAGAAAGACCACGAAACATTTCCGTGCGGCAACTGTGGCAAGTTATCAATTCAAGGATATAGTATGTAACATAAAAATCAAGCCGTTCTGCCCCCCCCCTTCCCCAATTTTCTGAAATAATTCCTAAAATGTCCTCACATTATTTATTTTATATAAAGATGAACTTAGGACCTAAATTTTTTAAGTACGCTTAAAAGGATGAGCAAGACCGAGTCGGACTGAGAATACATTTTCTCATGAAAAATGACTCATTTCTGAACCTTCCCTCCGATTTCTATGACTTGTTCAAAGACTACGTATTCGATCAATTTGTATTTGAACTTATCCTTATACTTAATACCCAATCTAAAAGAGATATAATTTAAAATTTGAAAAAACAAAATAAAATGAAATAAAAGGATCGTATCTCCTATGACACTACTAAAAATGCGCTGCACGTTTTGTTATATGAACCATTTGGGAAGATTCGTTCAGCTAACAATCAGAGTTAGATTTTTTCTCCATGCGTTTTTTTGTATTTCATTCTTCCACCGCAAATAAATTTTTCCCTCCTCCTGCAATTGAAAAATGCACTTCAGAAAAAGCGCATGGATAGACATCTATTTTTGTTTAAGTGGAGGATGTAGAAACGAAGGCATAGCTTTTTGAAGAAAATCCGTGAACATTTCTTGCTGCGAACAAACTTGATGTACTTTACTTGCATATTTCCTTACATAAACTTAGTTGGTGATGAAAAAAAGAAGAATATAAAAAATCCTTGCTGGGAAAGTGAATGCGTAAATGCTTCCTTTGATCAAGCAAAATGATCGTCAAATTCTTATCAATAGAAAAAAGTTGACAAATTTTACTCCGGATAAGAGAAAAACGCCAGAGAAGTAACAAATTTATTTCAAAGTCAAGGGCGTAATAAAGTCGTCGGAAAGATTTTAAATTGCCAAGGGCAGTTCCCCTTGGGAACGCTAAAAAACCATACGGTAGGCCATATTTGTAATTTAATGGATTTAGTTAGTTGTAAGAAATAATGTCTCTTCGGCGTAATAGCTCAATTGTTCATTTGTAAAAAAAAAAAAAAAAAAAAAAAAAAAAAAAAATCGAAGCGTTGCGATGTGCTTTTGTACTACACTGTGTGCAATCAAATTAAGTTGAACAATAACAATCGGGATAAGATTGAACTAGAGCTTACTTAATCTTTTCTTCGATATTCCAAGAAAATCCGTAGTTAAGTGCTTTCATTCACTTCAAAACATTTTTTGTAAAACACTGGAAAAAAAAACCCACATTGGATCTAGAGTCCAGACTCCTGAAAATATTGACAAGAAAAAGGACTCTTGATTCAAGCAGATTTAAGCTTAAATCAAAAGGAAATCCGCTCAAATTAAGAGGCTTGGTTCTTGATTTAAGCTTAAATCTGATTAAATCAAGCGTGTTTTTTCTTGTCGATGTTTTTAAGAGTCTGGACTCTAGATCCAATGTGTTTTTTTTCCAGTGAATGACTGCGCTAACCTGCACAATTTCGTGAAGCTCCTCGTCTTCAATTTTTGTTTACATAGAGACCATGAAAAAGACCATAGAAAAACCATAAGAAAACCAGAGAAAACCATAGAAAAAACCATGCGAGTAAACGTGAGCTCATAGATTTTTCCCTCGGATAAAATAAAATAAAATGATTGTGACATTTTCAAAAAGCAGGGAGCAAACAACAAATTTTGTTCCTCAGCTCCTCATATACAAAAAAAAACCTACGATAAAGTTAAGTGACGTTAATACGTCGTACCTCAGACAAAAGAAAGTAATTAAACACTGAGCGCTAAAAACTTTCTTCAATTATTCTCTTTTTTATTATTATTATTCAATTATTATTATATTTTTTACGAGAAATTGACCCCAACATCTGTCCAAAGTTTTGCTGAATTTTGCTCGCAATCCGTAGGAAAATGTGTGGAATTTTCCATGAAAAATTCCTCACAGTATTCAGGTGAAAAGTAGGAGCTGAGATTTTTAAGTTTACAATTAAGTCCTTTGAAAGTTCCGTTCTTCCGTCTGGTGTACAGTAGGAAATAATATTATTACATTGAAATTGTGCTTACCTAATCTCTTAAGAGGTATTCCAAGAAAATCCTTAACTAAACACTTTCATGTAGTCGAAGAGAGGAACAGTCCGCAATGAGGTGCGTAACCATATCAAATCGAAAAATCTGAAAAGTGAAAACTGGGGCTCCTGAGCACACACTTCACTAATCACATGACGAACACAACAGTCTCGGCGGAAGCGGACCGTAAGGGATGAAAAGACGTACTGGCTACCCCGGAGCTGGGATCGGGCAGCGGCGAAAGGGGCGGGGGATGAAGAGGGATGCGGCGCGGGACCCGGGCCGGGGGTGTCGGGTATCATTCAAAACAGTGTCCATCCCCTCCTTCGAGTGGCCCTCTCCGCCCCTTTTTGATTTGGCCAGCTTTTTTGAGTGTTTTCACTCCTCGCACCCCTTTCTGCACCCCCACCCGCAACTTACCCTCCAGAATCGCGTGTTACTTCACTGAAAAAAAAATCTCGGTGTATTTACTAAGAAAAGGGTAAAATTACCAAGAATTCAGGGTTTTATTTGATCCCAGTTTTTTCTTGGTCAAATTGCCATTTATGGAATCGGTAATTTTACTGAGAAATCTCGGTAAAATTATTAAACTTTCTCGGTAATTTTACTGGACCTTGGTAAAAACGCCAATATTTTTTATCGACGGTGGTGGAATTACCGAGATGAAATGGCAAAGTTACCGGGAATTGATTACCAATAAAAGTGGTATCCTTACCTGGAAAAAAAAATAAAAACAGTTTTTAGGTAAGCTTACCAGTTTATCTTGGTGAAATTACCAATAATTGGTTAAAAAAGTGAGATGGTAAAGGTACCAACGGATTTTGGCAAAAACGCTGCGAATTTTTTTTCAGTGCTCGGTCGCGATTTGCGGGTCATGACATTCAATGATCTGTATAGTGAAATTTACAGAATTTGAAGAGTGGAAAGGCAAAGTTGGTGAGGGTATTTTCTGCATACTCCTTCCAATACATTTCCGCAAGAAGCATCACTTACCTCTATACGATTAATGCATGTTGTTCCTTTGCGTAAAATATAACGTAAAAGATTTCCTTATGGAACTTTCTTCGGATATTTTCTCTGAATGTTTGTTGTAATGTTTTAATCGGTGGTTTCTATTTTTAGTTCACGATAGATGTCTATTAAAAGATTGAAAGAGCTGAGAGCTGGAGTCTGGGCTTACATCACATGTAATCATGGAGGGCGTTCAAGGCTGCCTTGCGTAACGCTAAAATGAGCGCAGATCGCTGATTTTACGAAAATCTAGGATGAATAACCAACGCAAGGTGGCAATTTTTCATCCGAACTTCATCAGAAAACGCTAAGTGGGGGGAGAAAGTGGTCGAACCTACGCTAAATGGATTGCATGGAGGGTCCCTCTCCGTCTTAGGTTTGCCATCAGTGTTACGCAAAACTGTCGTGATAGCGAAGAGAGCAGTAAGTGTCAAATTTTCAAAATCGAGTTTCCTTCAAATTTCGTCTAACCTTTTCCAGATGAAATCACTGAAATAGCTGAAACAGCAAAATTCATCTTTAATGTATGAAAATGAGACATACAAGAAAGGCGTAAGTGCGCAAAAAATGACGTAGTTTCAGGCACAACAGCAGTAAGTAACATCATTCCTCCAGAGAGCCAATGAAAGCAGTGTTTTTAACAGTGCCGCCCTCTTCTGCCAATTTCCTTAACTTGAAAATGTGTTTGTTGTGTATCCATAACGCAACCACGAAAGTACGCATGAGATAGCACTTACGGCTGTCTTGCCTAACACTAGCCTAACATGAAAATTAATAACGATAAACGAAAAAAAATTTAAAAAACTCTTTGAATGTAATTGGAAACAAATCGGTCGATTTTTAATCATTCAAACGATTTCAGAAAAAAGAAAGTAATTTGAAACAGAACAATTCCTTGCGAAAAGCATCAACAATAATACGCCAGCCTCCATCACCATGTATGCATTGAATAACGTTCCTTCCTCGCAATTGTTGTTAAGGGTGGCATTGGAATGGGGAGGTGGTTAAAAAATGTGGTGATTATTTTAAGGGTTACAAAGCAATTTTAAAGGAGACTTAAAGCTGTTAACACATAGGATTACCTAGCCTCTACATAGAAACGTTAAGAGCTTGTTTTCATCGTGTTTCCAATATCAAAGACGCAAAGTCACCGGCCGAATCCCCCCCCCCCNCCCTTCGGGGGATTATTTTCGATGGAGGGATAAATTCATTTTTCTTGTTCGAAATATACTGAAACAGAAATATTAGAAAGATATGGAACTTCTGGATCGAAGGGAAGAGAAACATGAAAAAGTCGAAGTCGAGACCGAACGGCTCATTTCGCCTTCAGTTTGGATGATACTTCAAGCACGTCCGTAAAGCACGAATAGTTGTATTAAAGAGTCGCGTGAGTTCGGTAGCCTTGCTCCGGTATCATCTCTTGATTTTTCACGTCTCAACGGTATTTTTTCGCAAATGACGCTCGCATTGATTGTGTCGTGAACTTGAGGAAACGTATACATGGATTGCATTTTGCAAAAAGGAACCACTAGCATTGCAATGATGCTAAGATTGTGCAACTTCATCTTTTGCAATAAAATTGCGGAAATTGTGAAAAGCTATGAGATTTAGATGGTAATTTTTGTCTTAAATTTACAGTTTCTAGCGAGTAAAATAGAAACTATGAATGGATAATCGGGTTTTTCCTCCAAGACAAAAGAAGTTGCACAATCTTAGCAACATTGCAATGCTAGTGGTTCCTTTTTGCAAAATGCAATCCACATGATAAAGTTTACCCGGATATCGGGAATAGTTGTTTCGTTTTGACCGAGAGAGGTCAGCTCTAAGCGTAAAACCTCGTGAAGCTCTCGATGCATTTTTCGGAAAATTAATTTCTGGAGAGGACTCAGATTTTACCGCTGTCCCGTAAAATTGGGAGTCATTTTTCACGTGTTCCCTCTCACGAATGCCTCGGCTACTGTGAGGTTTTCTGCCGCGCTAAGGAAAAACGCCGTATAAACTTTCAGGCGTCGCCAAATTCCGATTGATAAAACGCGCCTTCCGGGTAAGCATATGAATATTTTTCGTCCAAGTTTCCAGATAATGTTGTTCACAATTTCACCCAAAGTTACTGAAAATTTCAAAAAAAAATATCCATAACTTTCCTCAAAAATGAACATTTTACTAAAGGAAATTTGGCAAATCTCGAATGTTCATACGGCGTTTTTCTCCATCACGGCAGATATGGAAATAGAACAGGAGAGGATACGCGTTGACGACGGCGCAGTGATACAACTATTCGAGCTTGATGGACGTCCGTGCTGCATCTGGAAAATTGAAGGCGCGAGGCGTGTACTGCACACATGCTCCGCTGCACCTCGAGTTATTTGGGATTAATTCGATTGATTTTACTAAAGGAAATTTGGCAAATCTCGAATGTTCATACGGCGTTCCTCCTTAAGCACGGCAGTTTTGCGGAAATAGGGAGCCGATGCGATGGGAGCATCTCTGCTCGGACGGAAGCTGATAAATTCTCACACGATTGACAACATAATATAAAATAACACCATAATTTATGTTCTGTCGAAAAATAAGCCAGCCCAGTGTCGGGGAGGGACTGCCGTATGTGAACTTTGACAATGCGCTGACCACCGATTTCGGTTGGGGTCAATTGTGTTTTCTGTTTTAGAGCGGTGACCCCTCTCATCGCTTGCCCCGCGGCCATTGTCCGCCGATTAAAGTCGCCCCGAACCGGTGACCGAGTCAAATTCATTAGATTGGCCCAGAACAAAACGGGGCTAGCACTTGCGAATCACTGTTGCCAAAGGCCAATTTCTTTTCTTTTAACTTAAAAATTGAAACTCCTGTGTGAGCTGAGAACGAGAAATCCTTAAATTTAAGAAGAGTTCTTGGGAGAATCCTTTAATTTAAAAAATGGATGAATGTAAAGTAAATTTTGAAACAGGATGTGCTGATTTCATAGCGAAAAGTTACTTTTACAAACGAGTACGTTGAGTACTCACTGAAATTGGATTTGCGGCATATCGGTTGGGCAAGCATGGCCGAGAATCACACTGCAATGATTAGCAGAGCCTCATAGTCAACATTACCAAAATTAATTTAACAGAACTGTCCACATACGAAATTTTCATTTCCAATAGTCTCGCCCTCTAAAAAATACTGCGATTATGTAAAGTATTTAAATGCATAAGGTTAAAATCATCTTCATTAAATTGATTCTGCAAAAAAGGTCTCTAGTGCACATCATTTATCATCTGTGCAGATCACCATATGTACATGGTATGCTTCAATGCTGTAGTTGACGTCACTAAACAAGGTACATCCAGAAATTTCCAACGTGCAAAAATGACAGACGGTAAAATTCCTGTAGGTACAAGATCCCGAGATAATAATTGCGAATTACTCATTGTCAGTGCGGAGGTCCACGGAGTATTTCAATGAAATCGTGCGGCATTTTAGTCAATCGACACCAGAAAACAAATTGAATGAGCTGCAGATCTACCTCGTGTTCCTTAGATTACCTAATATTTTTGCAATGCCAATCTGCATGTCATTTCTTAGCAATTCTTAGCAACTTTTTTTTAGCACTCTATTTGCACGATTCTCCTGAAACTATTCACAAGTAAAAACCAGTATTTTATAATAATTAAATAAACTAATAATACAATATAATGGTGATGAACCGATGAGCTCTGATGAGTGAATCTTCTGCTTCCTTTAAGTGTCCATTCCTAAACGTGGTCTTTGACTGAAATGAGTCGGGTTTCGTTACGATGGAGGATGCTGTAGGTACACTAAAAAACGATACAGTAGCCTATTGTGGCAACACTGCTTCAGTCTCTGTGAAAATGCCGCTCCAAGCAGTAATTTTTTCCCTTTTCGATTGTAAGGGGAAGGAAAAATAAATCTTAAATCGGGCCTTTGTCCTGCGGAAATATTGATTTTAGCCTCGAAAACTGCTCAGTGATTATAAATTAGTGCGCGTTTTATAACGAAACTGAATAATGTAATGGTCGAGAAAAGATTCAGCCCATTAAAACCTGCTGCCCAATGAACGTGGTCAGTGCCTTTGTTTGGGGTCAAAGCTTAGAGGTCGCAATGTCAGGGGGTAAGGGTCGCTCTATTCTTTGTACTAGGGTTCTTTATTATGACCAATAATATAAGTCTCAGTGCAG